AACAGTTCATCCAGTGGTCGAAGGTGACAGTAAAGCTACCTCAGTGCTGGATGTCCCCAAGAGAGCAATTGAACAGTCTTTGAAAACAAATTTTCGAGAATTTTTGAGGGCGCATTTCGAAGTGCGACATGCAAGCCTGTATACCTTTAGCAATCCAGGATCGAAAGTTCTCCAAAGCGTCTAATGGTGGATTACAAAAATACGAATAATAGATTCATTTGGCACCCTTGTGAGCATAGAAAATGTAAATAAAAATATTCGCAGATAAATTTCGGAATAAGTAAGCAAACATTACACTGGCCAGTTTGTGCTTATGTTTGGGACAAATGTTATACTAGACGCCTGCTTATGGGTCTTGAGAAAGTGAAAGGGACGCATTCAGATGGGAAAATGAGCTAACAGTGAAAGAAACCCCCTAAATAGAATGTGCATTGATCTATTTGAGAGTGATTCGCAAAAAAGATATGCGGCACATGCAACTAGTGAGGTTGTAGGATGGAAACAGGTGTGAGTGGGAAGAGACCGCCCTGCTAGGGAGATTATATGCAGACTTGAAACGTTTCTTGTCAGGGGAAATAGCAGACTGGAGAGACCTAATTGCGTGCATTAAGCACGTAGTTGTGACTATATTATTTCTTTACTGTTCAATCAAAATATCGGCGAGGTTGCCAGACATTGGAACTCACCGAATTCGTTAGTATTTTTTTAGGGACGAGAAGAGCTGGACATTAAAGGAAACGAAGATCGTCGTTGATTAAGGGTCAAAGCTCTTTACCTTGAGAAAGATGTCTAGCAAACGTAAATCTTCCTCTTTGAGTTTCATACGAATGCGCGGAGAACTTAAACAAGCATTGAGCTTCGAAACGGACTGGGCTGAAGTCTGACTCCACAGGCTTATTTGAATTTGTTATCGAGACCAAACTAAGAGATCGCCCGCCAGACTTCTAAATTCTAAAGATAAGGATAGATTATCCGAACTACTTCTCTATGAGGAGATAAGTGGAGGTGGGTGTCATCCTAACACACGTTTGCCGCCCCAGTCAATAGAAAATGTAAAAAATACTAACACCGTTATGTCGCAAATGCACCTGGCCGATGAAGAATTAAACTCAACCCTCATGATTCATGTTCGGATATTCGCGAGCCTCATTTGATATGTTCCAACGCATTTTCCCCACCCTACTTTTGACGCCGTAAATGGAATATCCAAGGACTAACATATATTTTGTGGCAGTGATCTGGATTGCTGAGTGCCACGACCGTGACTCGATTCCATATTCCCTCATTGAAATTCAGCGTATAACAGAATGCTAAAACACGAAGCAGATATGATCGTTTTACTTCGCTTACTTTAATCCGCGCTTCGCAATAATTCAGTCTTGTGGTCGTGTCCTTTTGCAGATCATAATTGCTGCTCGGGACACTCTTCTCCTAATCAGAGATTTGTTTCCGTGTATAATTTTCGTTGTCTGTGAAGTTGGTTTGTCATTTGGCCCTATTTTTACCAGTCCTTACTGTTTCCATTTAGTTGTGTGTGCAGCCTCTTGACTCGTACGTAATTACGCACGTTAACCGATTTATCCCTTGGCCAAGACGCGAAACCACCAGTAAACCATGCGAAACTGATGAAAATCAACCTAATTGAGTGTTTATTAGCTCACCATGCTTCCATCAGCTTATTTCAGTTAGATAAAATCCATGAGCGAAAGCGATTTTTTAAAATATAGGACAAATCCAACTTTATGCAAAATGCCACCTTAAACTCCTCCCTGTATGCTGTTATTGAAATATTAAGTTTTTTGTTGTTTATTCTTGTTTCGGGCACTAGCTAGAGCCAGAGTTCTGTGAGGCATCCGTGGAAAGTAGTCTCAAATACGCCGTATTCGATTGAGGTCAGGGGATACAGTTGTCCACGCAGAGCATCTGACGCCTTGAGTTTTTGGAAATTCTGCTCGTCATGACACAAATATCATCCCGGAAACTCGATCCTCGAATGAATAGCTGTGCCGTGGCGGAAATCAATCATCGATCCCTTGGCTTGGACAGGCCATGCATTAGGCTCAGTTAGTCGTGACGAACGTGGTATACCCACTCGCCCCTGGTGTGGAACACTCATGTATTTCGAAATGGGCAATCCACACATGTGACTGGGAGTTAGTTTTTTTGACTAATCATGTGCATATTTTGCAGTGTTATACAACAGGTTGATTGTCGCAGGCGATAGCGTCCACCATGAGTGGGTGCATTCTCTACTGCACCCTCCCCTTCCTCATCTACCTTACTCTGATGACAAGACAATGTCAGGACGACCGGAGATGGGCGCGTGCCTATTGGCCTATAAAGCTAAACAACCTGCTTGCTTATTTAGTAGCGCACCACATGCTAAGAAATTTCAGTCGCAAAGAAAGACGGTGAAGGTTTCTCCCCTTTTTCTAAGGCCTGTGCTCCTTTTTCGCTTAGCTAGCCTCTTTTCCCAAAGGGTTTTATTGAAGATCAAGCCCGTTTTTATCCATTCCTTCTGGTACGTCAACACCTGTAGTCCGAGCTTTTTGGATCGAGTCAACATGACGGCAGCTAGTTTGCATGCGTCGTCACTTCCCCTTTAGTAATTAGATTTCATTTATCAAACAGTCAGTCGGCACTTTCTAGAGCTGGGTATTGAACAGTCAGTTTAGGGGTTTAACATTAAAGCTCGGTATTAGCCTGACCGGGCTAGACTTTTATCCCGATAGATAAAAGGCTTCCCTTCTTTCGTTACTTGTGTCAAACGTACTTGTTCACCTGAAGCATTTTGACTTATGGGCAGACGCCCTCCCGCCCATATTATTTATGACAACCTTTACCCGTTTAAGCCGTCAAGGAATCCCGGCAAAAGTTATCAGATATTTTTTGCCCATGAAGACGAATGTTTAATCATTTGCAGAGTTCATTCTTCAGCTCAGTCACTAACAGTAACTTCATTTCCACGCCCTATTATCTGCTCTGGATCATATGCCTTAGCATAGATATTATTAGTCTGTAGTCGCTTTTTCCTTTACAGCTGGGCTAGTAGTCTTCACGTGCCCATTATCCATTAAGCCTCTTTATGGTTTCGTCTGGACCAGTTATTGATAGTGTGCTAGAAGAGACGTCCATGTTCTTCGGGAGGGAGGATAGAATGACTTTCTGGCAAAACACTGACACATTTGTGGAGGAATGACTTGTAAGAGCTGGTATGCATTCGGGTTCATCAGCATCGTTTCGTTTCTCCTGGTAGTCGTTTTTTGACCTTTGAGCATCGAGCTTGACGATGGCCTTCGTGGCTTATACCCAGTATCAAACATGTCTCCTAGTTTCATCCTCACAACCTCCTTGTTTTAAGATGTATTTCCCATAACAAGGACAACGCTCTACCGACATTTCTAGCTTTTACAGAAGTCAGTCGGACATAACTATCGCATACCGACCATGAAATCCGATTGAACAAGTTTTCCTTACTGTTATCTTGTTGGTTGAATATCTACCCGAAAGCGCAATTGGGGACCAGTTAATCAAAATCGTTTCAGGTCTCAAACTCTCGACTGCGACCTTGGATAATAATATGACTTCTTGTCTTCTAAAGACGAGTCGCGTTGCAAATATGCAAGCTGATTTGCACGAGACAGAGGAAATTATTAATCACTTACTGAACTGTAAGGAGCCTTCCTGCACAGGCTACGCCTAGTCTACTCATGCGAATACTGGCGTAGTACAAAGTAAACTTTTGGTGTCTCGGAGGTGTATGTGCCAGACTATGGCGTTTACATACAGCACACAGATCCCCAAAACCTCTCTACGACCATTTCCATATAGTAGCTGAGCCTGTCTCACTGTACGACCTGGTCGCTCTAGAGGATTGAAATTCCGTTGAGGGTGAGGGCCCGCCGTTATCTGGACGACCCTCTACGTCACGCTGCCCACATCAGCTCGAGGATGTACCTGCAATCTAATTGGCGGGAATAATTACAGGCTCGAAAGCACGCGTAAGCTCGCCAAATGCTCCATGGGAATAATTACGTTCGACTTTCTCTGCTGTTCCTACCTCACAAAGCTAGCTCTAAACTAGCCTTTACAAAATGGAAACTGTATCTACCACAGAAATCAACAAGTTATTTTGGGCCTGGTACACCAGCCGGTGTTTCTGCGGTCAGTTTAGGTGCAATTCTGATTTCCGAGACTTGGTTTTTCGTACCCATTAATGCAGAAGGGCAGCTGGATGGCCGCCGAAGGTACCCCATTCTTTCTTATACCAGTACTACTTCCAAGACAACGAGACTTGCTGTTACCAGGCCAGGCCTTGATGTTTTCCGAGACTTGTACGGCTCGCAGGTTTGAGTTTCACCGAGATTGCGGAATTTTACCCAACCGGGTAGCCAGTTAAATCGTTCAAGTCCGTCAAAACACCGACTAATTCAGCTTATCCGACAACCATCTGGTGTATTGTAGAATAATTGTGTAGAGGAATCCGGTTGGATAGGCAGCTTACCATTTTAGAATTAATGGATACCATAAGCTGCACTAGGTTAAGCGATCAACGTGAGACTGAAGGCTCTCAGTCGGGGCTCAGCTGGATAGAGCGTTAATTTGTATTCAAACCCTGCTTTTTGTCGCGAGTAGGAATCCTGTGGAGTCAATTGTCCACATTTACCAAAATACTTATTGCTTATCTGTTGTTGCTTCACCCACTTCCCATGACGGGCACTTGCACGGAGCCGATAAGCGTCTCATTCTATTTTTTTTTCTTCTTCTTCTTCTTCTTCTTCTTCTTCTTCTTGTCTTTGGATCGCCACGCTCAGGGGCCAGCCGTTTGATGGTGAAGACAGATATTTCTAACTAGTCAACATATTCTTGCTCACTGTTTTGATCGTCACCCAGCGCAAATTGACCGCTTGCGCTTCTGTGGCCCTTTTAACTTTTTATTCAATTTTTTGTTCAATGCCATCTTTCCCTGCATTTCAGGGTTTTGAATCCCCTAGCAAACGATGTCCGAATGCCTGGACACAATAGATCCTGCAAACTTTATTATCGGCATTATTCATTTGCCTCCTGGTCGGACTGCCCAGTCGCTACTTCCCACCACGGAACCGGTTCTGAAGGTGCTGCAAAAGTTTTTTCGGAAGTTTGAAAAGCATCCAGGAGAGGCACTATGCAAAGAAATACCGTCTTCGAACGAGGATGAGGATGTCCTATTGGTGGCGGAAGGTGCCACTGATCACGTCGGTGGCGGTTCTCAACCTCGTTTGCCCTTTGTTGGCCGCAGCTCTGGTGGCGGTTACTGCCTGCGACAGCTGCCAGCTCATCGTTTGCACATTCGTGTAAGCAAGAGGTGAGCCTCCAATGGACTATTTTTCTTTTTCAATGCTAGACTACTGCCCATAGTCATACGCCTGCAGAGCGTCCATAACCACAGGCACCACCACCACCACCACCACAGGCACCACCACCACAGGCACCACCACCACAGGCACCACCACCACCACCGGCTTCTCCGACGTAGTTGGTTTGTCGGCAACTGCACCAGCTCTCGCAGACGACTCCAGACGTTTCTTACTGTGGCAGTGAGTCCTTCGGCTGCATTACTTGGCGCTTGATGATTACTTCCGGTCCGTGTGGAACTCCAACTCCAAGTGGTGCGCAAAGGCGTTCGACAGCTTCTGAGACGTTCTTGACTTATGGAAGCGCTCGCCAAAATTTGGGAGTCCGTGCGATTTGGCCTTTCGTCCCTTTTGAAAATGCACTGATTGACGAAATTGCGCGGGCAGCCACTGACTTTGAAGTCTTGTCGAAATTATTGTAGTTCGGCAACCTTGTCTTCCGGTTTACTGCAGTGCGTCTCAACACGCCGATATGGCATTCTTACGCAACGGCGTTTGTGGCTGATTGGGTGGTTGCTGTTGAAGTTCAGTATTTGCGTCGCGTTCATCGTTCTCCAGAACACTTTGGTTTTTAGTCCACCACAGTCTGTGCGGCATACGAGGCTATCCAGGAAGGCCAGATGGTTGTTTTCTTTCTCTTCAATCGTAAATCGTATGTCTGGAAAGACCGCGTTGAGACGTTCTTTGAATGTCGGGTGACATGGCAGGCATACGTCTTAATCTGCCCATAAGTTCGGCAAAATTTGGGGAGCCCTTACCATAGTTAAGTGGAATATTGAACGAACTAAGGCTTCATCTGACACAATTGTGCTACCCAGGCGTTGTTTTAAGACAGACTATGGGGGCCAGGAGTATCATGCAATTAAAAGACGTTGACTGACAGACCATCACTCACACAGTACTTTAGTGGATATCGCGATTGCTTAAATGGTTAAATATGTAAAGCGTCTGATACCATCGATTTATTTGCAATGTGTCGGCACAGTTCACACTCCGTGCCCCTCACATGTGTACACTGCCACCGCTGTATTTCAGGTAGCAGGTATGTTTACGTTTCGATACAAATATCCGTGGTTGGGCATTGGCAACCATGTCGGCACAAGAACCAGACACTTATCAACACCAGAGTGATCGGAACAACTGACTATGTCGATTCATTCGTGGAACCTGTTTTCGTCGTTTATGCAATGTTTGCCTGTAATTCGTACTTAGGTAATTCGTGGGAGTTACCATCGCGCCAAAGAAACAGAATATGGCAAGTATTATTATGTTAATATGCGGTTTTTTGCCGACTGCTTAGAACTGGCTGAAATATATGCATAAACTATGCTGGACCTGTGTCCCATTCCGTTATGGCGACAAAATTACGTTTACTGATTAACATTTCAGTAGAGTGTTATTACTATCCTAGAACTACACTTCTTTCCAGACCTGCTGAAAACCATTTTGCGGTCGCCAACAATGAGATGGATGCTGGTGAGAAATCTGAAGGCAAGTCATCCAGGAAGCGGTCTCGAATGGCTGCCGAAGACCTTGATGCCGATGTTATGTGTCCTTTATCACCCGCTCCCAAAAAGCCCAAGAGGCGTCGGTCAGAACAGTGAAATGTTCGTGTACACAATTAGAACTAACGCGTACTTGTACATACTTTAACTTGCTCGTAAGGCATATTTTGTACTGCAAAAGATTGTTTAATATGTTGTTCACCTTGTGCAATCTTTCAAAATTGTACAAACAATCAGGACTTCCGTGTATGAGACATTATCTCTTTACCATTTCTGCTTAAACCACGAGTCTACTTGGTCTCGCCACTTCTCGAAAACTTGCGGCACAGTAACGCAGTTATTAGCTGTGCACTAAAACTGGTGACATATTGACTGAACTCCTTGGCTATATTTTCAAATCAGCAAGGTTACTTTAGATTGGGCTTCAACAATGACAAGCTTGGCGCTTGAATCTCAAATGCTCCGGGTTGGATATGCCTGACTGATGACAGCTGATAAGCCGGAAGTGGCCACTCCGGTCTCCGTTATCTTTGTCAATGCTCCCTTCAGCATATATTTATGATGGCCATATGACTGCTTCCGTGGGCTCTGGACTGGGCCTCAAGGCACAAACAGACGAACATGTCCCGTAACCCGATCGGCGGACGCGATTCGAACAGAAAGGCTCGCTGATGCAAGTCGCTTTATGAAGAATATTAACATCATGCAGCTTATAGTACCTTGTCATTAAAATATTGCGTAGAAGTATGCCTCATGGGGTCTGCAAATTAATTTTTCCTGGTGAGCTGGTTGTTCTGAGTGAATCGTTATTTTTCCTAGGGTTTAGGTCCGCACCAGGCCGGCATAAGAATATTACGGAACTAGCGCGAAATTGCAGATCACTGGATTTGAAGAAAGCACTAGAGTTCTTTGAACAACCTTCCCAATGTCTCCTCTCAGTTTTAAATGCAGTTACTGGCCTGTCACAAAGTGTTGGCCGAAATTCTGAAATGTGGTAGGAAGGGACTCACCGATCGTGCTAAGGAACTTAATCGTCCCGTTGTGCCTTGGAGCCCTCTCGAGCCTAGCCGGCAGCTGCACAGCGGCGGGTGATATAGTCAGAACAACATTACCGACAAAGACAAGGGAGACTAGAATGGCCATTTCTGGCTTATTAACCTGTAGTGACATTTAAGTCCGTTTTGTTTTAATCAGTTATAATACTCTTGTAAAATACCTTGGCACAACTTTTAATAAGACGAGGAATTAGCACGTGCATTTTTACCTGCTGACGACTTTGTTCTTATTTACTAGTGTAACTGTTCGGATACTTCTATCTTCGTTTCCCGGATAGCCTACTTACCGTGCCCAACTAATGGCTTTATCACTTATAAACCGTCGTCAGCCAGTCATACACGGCCCCGAGGTGTGGAACCCCTTGGGGTTCGATTTTACGACATGCTGGCTAGAAGTCCAGTGCCTCTAACCACTGGGCCACCGGCTCGTTGTCCTGTCGACTGAGATGTTTTCAATTAGCCAGGATTACATAGGTGGAATTGTAATTCAATAATCGTGCAGCATAATTGCGATGTTTTCGGTCACGCAAAGATGTCGGATTTGGAATGACCTCCCGGCCGACCGCGAACGCCATACTCGGTAAGAAATGTCCCCTTGTTTACGGAGGAGAGAGTGCGGTAGCTGCTGCGCAAGTCTACATTAATTATAATCTTAATCACGCATAAGTCACCGAGGCTGCTCTCACCTTGCAGTGAACCACATGGTGGACATCGCCGGCAACGACGTAGCATTAGTAGACTTTCGTAAACAGGCGCGTCAACTTTATTCTTCGTCACGCATTTCGTTCTTAATGTTTGTCTCTCAAAGACCGCCTTGGTCTTGGAAGGTGGAGGGTAACTGCGACTTCCTCGACTTCTGTACAGGCTTTTTGTCACCTTAACAAGTAGACCACAGACGGATCGCCTAAACTACCGTTGAATTAAGGCTGTACTCTGTAGTTAGTAGCTATGCCTCCCACGAGACCCATCAAACTCCCGAGCTTCCAATTTGCGAAAACCGAAAATCTCATGTAACTACTACCTCTTGGCAGTAAGTACTGTGGTACATCTTTGAGACAGATAGAGTTTTAGGCGGTTCGCCAGTGGATTCGAATGGGATTCAAAAAATTTTCCATGGGAATCAAAGATAACCTAGGTGGGGGGGGGAGGAGGGAGTGAGTGAGATAGATGCTGCGCGGTCTACACTCATTACAAACTAATTAAAGCGCAAGTCACCGTGCCTACTATCACCTTGCTGTGAAGCACGCGGTGGGGATCGTGGGCAAGGACGGTTGAACTGTCATACCTTATAGGAAAACCGAGTGTGGTTTTTGCAGACGACGTTCAAAAAGCCGGCATCCTGGCGTGACTGAAATACCTTCGGATTATGCTGCACCAAAGTCAGTGATATAACTCCACATAAGTAACCCTTTTTACTCGAAAACACAGTTTAGAATTTCGGTTAACATTTCGTAAGATAGGCCAGCCGCTGTACTATGTGGTTCTGCATGATTTGGACACTTGGCAATAAAGAGCCGGCATATTACAGCTTGGGGAACAAGCAGAGCCAACTCTCACTTTCGACCAACGGTTAGCGATGACGCGCCAAAGGAAACCAAATTCCAGAATATGCGCACTTGTGAGAGAGGCATGTAAATTGCTGTGGCCAAGTGCAGGGATTGGGGCCAGGCCGCGCGTGACACGCGTAGACGTGCTGTTTGACCTTGCCGGTCATCGCGCCCCCAGTCGCCTTGATATTGTTTTGTCATCGTCGGTGGGTAGGCGAGGGAGAGGAGTGTGCGGTAGGTGCGGAACAAGTCCGCCGTCGCTATAATTCACGTCCAAGTCGCCGTCCTATGACGGTTCGACCGTCGTGCCCGATGATGTCTACCGTGTACTTCACAGGGAAGTGAAATAGGCAGGGTGATTAGTGCGTGAATTAGTCTATAGTGAGAGTGGACTTGCGCAGCATCCGTCGCACTCTCTCTCCATCCCAGCCTGCACCCGATGTCAGGACATAATGAAGAAGACCGGAGGTGGGGGTGGGGACGCAGGTGGATGGCGGCGGCGGACCCGCACCTACGCGTACATATTACTCCACACCCCCTGATCCACAACAAACACACTTGCCCAAGATTTTAAACCAACAGCGACAATGGGGGAGACGGAAGGGATCTCCATGTGCGCGATGTGACCCGGCAACTGAGCCTGCCACCGCACCCCGAATGTTGGCATTTGTTTTCGGTGCGAATTCCGATACCGCCTGACAGAATCGAAGTTGGCCCCTGTGTTGGTACAGCGCAGTTACAACATGACCCGTTTGTTTGGGGGCGGGGGGTAAGGAAGGCAAAGACACACCGCCCCATACCTGCTATGATACAGATGTATATGAATGTCAGACTGTCGTGTTGAGTGTGAAAATTACGACGAAGATGGGGGGATTGTATGAGAGTGTTGTAGGCAGAGTCAACTGGAAACCGTCTGGTTCTCATTAGTGACTAGAAACAAGCTTGGTGTACTAAGGCCTTCCCCTTGCTGTCGTGGGTTCGGATTCTGTCGAGGTCGCCGGGTTTTTCACAGATGGGCCAAATAGAATTTGGTCAAAATCTACCAAAGCACTTATTAATCCATAAAATTCGAGGCCGGATTCCTTCAACGAACGCACAATGAATGCGTGGGGAGTATTTCTGTCATAATAGTAACGATTTCGTGAGATTTATTTGTCTTCAATTTTCAGGACAAGTTGACGTATTATTTAGGAAGCATTGGCACGAAATTTACTAATCGGATGAAGACAGTGAAATACACGCAGAAAAAAAACATGTGATCAAGTTTTTATCCTTTCTTGTCACTTGTAGATGCTAAGTTCCTCTAAATATTTTTATAAATTGAGAAATTGTCTAGTACCTACCTTCTTAAGACCGATTACCATTTTAAGACTCTGCCATAAAGTTCACGATCAAGACCGCCAACCAGACGCATGAAGAAACTTGACTCGCGATCGAGGAGGATTTCCTCCGTTTCAGCTCCCCGAAAACTGCCTGCTTGTGCCGGGAAATTACCTTCAACTCTATACATTTAGATTTCAGGCACACATCCGTCCAGCGTAGTTCTTGACCTTTTCAACCTTGGTGCACGGTGCAAGGAGAGATTGGATTTCTTGGCAGACAGTTAGCTTGCCCTAATTGTCTTGAGCAGTCTTTACAATTACAGGCAGACCATTCTTTGCAAATATTTCAACTCTGGGGCATTGAAACGCAGATGGTCTCCTAGTCATAAAACTCCCTGGTGTCATGAGTGGTTGGTCGCACCGTGCGAATAGTGACTAAGCCTAGCGTCCATTTGCTGGCACCCAACTCTCATCTCTGGCTCCCCGAAGCTAGGCTCTGCCTACTGACCAATCGCCGGCAGCCGCCTGTGGGCTAAACCAGATGAGATTGGTGTTGCGTGTGTCCCCACAAATGATAATTATTTTCCCATCCTCCCTCTTCCCCTCTCTCCCTCCCACTCCAAAATTCCCACGAAGAGGACGACATGAAATCCCGTAGGCGGCCAAGACTAACTCGGGTCGCCCTCCACTAAACAAAGCCGTGACCCGTAGTGGAGTTCGGCAGCCGTATGGGATGTCTAAGCAGCCCTATTTACTGACAGTACTGCTTAGCCACTCGCATGGAAACGTACTAGAAAAGGTGTTCTGAACAAGTGCTAGGGCCAAGTCATTTGCGCTCAGACCGTGACTCGTGAATGCGAAATTCGCAGTCGAAGAAAACAACCACCCTCGTCTCCTCCTTCCTCCCCAAACATTCCGGGCTGCCCTAGCACAGGGGCAGCCTGGAATGTTCGTTCTGAAGAGGAGCCGGGTGGGACAGAGGACGGCGCAATTAGCCCGAGAACTGACTCCCTGCAAGATGGCCATCGCTGCTCTCAGCGAGACCCGATATTTCGAACATGACCAACCGGAAGAGATGGGTGCCGGGCGCACCTTCTTCTGGGGCGGCCACCCAAAGGCAGAGTGGCACGACGCAGGCGTCGCCTTTGCCATCCGGAACGACATCGTGGGACGAC